CTATACAAGGAAAACATGGGCAAGGGAACCCCTTTACCTGTCACTCCAGAGATGGAGAGAGTCAAGCACAATCAAGAAAACATTAGCTCGGTACTCTGGCAAGAAAAGAAAAAAATAATACTTCCCTAATGAGTTTTTAAAACTACTTTAATAATTTAAATAATACATATTAATTCTACTTTTTAAAATACAACTTAAATTTTGTGACTTTACCACATTTATCCTCCTTTCCTGTGGGACTAGTCCTAGCCTTAACTCTCTAATAAGAAAACTACTTTAATCCATAATTTATACAGTTCTAATATCAATAAATAACATTACCCTACAAAACATTGCTTGCCATTCCCCAAACTTATACCCAAGGTCTCTTTGCTTTACATATTCATGAAATTTGGGGTAGGCTGGTGTGGGTTGGTATAGTAAGCAAATGAGATTCTTTCTTAAGTATTAGAACTATGACTTCACTGTGTCAATGACTTTAGGTTCTGATTTACCCTGTTGGATTTGGTTTTTCTTTTTGTAGTGTCAAGGACTGAACCCAAGGCCTCATGCGTGCTAAGCATGCACCCCAACACTGAGCTACCATCCCCAACTAACCCTGTGCCGTCAGATTTGGACAAAGAGACCTTGGTAAAAAAATAAATAAATAAATAACCTGGGGCCAGGGATGCAGCTGAGCAGTGCAGCCCCTACCTGGCCAGTGTGAGGACCCGAGTTCCATTCCTGGTACCAAACCCAACAACAGTAACAACAAAAACAAACTCCTGGTCCTCTCCTTCAAGGTTAATGATATAAATTATGATCCAGGGCCAGGGAGATGGCTCAGTGGAATAAGTGCTTTCCTGGCAAGCGCAAAGGCCTGAGTTCAATCCCTGGTTCAAGCACCACCCCCACAAAAAAAAAAAAATTATGATCCAGTAATGGTTTTGGCAGTTGTCAATTGAACAGGAAAGTGACACCAAAGGAGTCTTTTGTATTTCCAATCAATTTTTTTTGTCCCTTTTATGGTCATTCAATGATAACTTTAGTAAACCACTTCCTGTGTGTGCTCTGTGATCATATAGATATCTACAAATAACCAAGAAGTTAGTGTGGGGACCTGAGGTTTCAGCAGTGAACAGCTTTGTGTTGCTCAGCATCATGCTGTGAGTAGGTGTCTGCAGTCCATGAGCCAGTGCTTTGAAGACATTAGCATGCAAGCAGGGTGGCAAGCCTGTGGCACACATACTGCCATGACTGTTTGTGCCCTTGGAAATTCTAAAAGGTTCACTGTCCTGATAGGTTTGTTAAACAAGATTTCTGTGTCTGCGGGGCCAGAGAATTTGCATTTCTAGTAAGTTTTCAGATGACACTGACCTCAGTATCCATTGCCTCTGCTTCTAGAACCACTGCTGGAACAGAATTCTTTCTTTTAAACCTCCCAAGGTCTCTGCAGGGGGTGGGGGCACTGAGATTGAGGATTTGTCGTGGTGTATTTACTGTGCTTCCTACTGACATGCCATGATTGCGCTGTTCTTTATGGGTAAGTGTGAATAGCTAAGCAGAGGCAGGAAACAGAGGACAGAGACGAGAAAGGGACAAAAGGAGTAGGAGAAACCCTTCCCCTTTTCTCATCATCTAGTTTTACCCAGGTCTATGATAGTCTAAGTGCTACAGAGACGTCCAGGAACCAGCTGCTGCATTGGAGCAGTTCCGACCTTGGTGTCGTTTAAACTCTTTCCTTTAACTCCAGTGTAGATCCTCTTCAGGGGCTTGACTTGGACTTTCTAGTGGTAAATTGGTGGTGGTGCTGTCTCGCCTCTGGGAGAGCTGCAGCTCTGTCTTGCAATCTGCAAAAATGTCAAGGCAGGTTCCTACCTTGGAAACATGTGTCTTGCCGTAAGCACACACAACGTCCTTTGCCAATATATTATCTGTCACATAACCTCATTACCTGAATGCTTTGGTGCCCTGGGCCTCAACAAAGGTTGTCTGTTCCATTTCATGTTTTGGTAACTTTCTTTTCCCCCTCTTTTTGGATTCCTTGGATTCACATAGGTTTTGTACAAAGAAAATGTGGGGAAAGCCACCCCCACCCCAGTCACTCCAGAGATGCAGAGAGTCAAACGCAATCAAGAAAACATTAGCTCGGTATTGTCTTTGAGAAATGAAAGTGCTTTGAATTTCACAAAATAACCTCTGCAGTCTGCCTGCTCCTAACCCCATCCAAAGTTAAAAACAAAATACCAGTCACATTTGAATCTCCTTGAAACATCATACTATATTTACTGTTGCCATTAACTATTTTTGAAGTTTTCTTCTGGAGAGCTATTCTCGCTAATAATAATAGATTAAGCCTAGCGTTCCCCTCAGCCACTGCCTTACATTTAGTGGTGAATAATGCCTCCTAGTGATTTTTGGTGCAATTTTGTATCTCACAGGTGCTATACAAAGAGAACATGGGGAAAGCAACCCCCACACCCTTTACTCCTGAGATGGAAAGAGTCAAACGCAATCAAGAAAATTTTAGCTCGGTATTGCAGATAGAAAAAATAAATCATTAAAATTTAATTAGAAAAAAAGTTTAACAAGACTAGCCATCATGGTTCTACCACTAATTTATCTCACAGTGCTCCCAAAATTCTGTGTCTCTTTGAAAATCCTTCCTTACCCATTTAAAAACAACAAGCCAATCCCACTAGCTCCCAGTTTTCACTTCTTATCTTTTGCTTTCCACTGTAACATTTTAATGGCTTTCCACCCCTGAGGTGCTTCTTACCCAGTGTGCTGCCACTGAGCCGTAACACTAACGCAATGATCATTTTCCGACCTGTTTTCTGCCCTCTGACGTCTGAATGCTCTCTTGGCTCCCTAGGTATTGTACAAAGAAAATATGAGAAAAGCAACTGCAACACCTGTTACTCCAGAGATGGAGCGAGCTAAGCGCAACCAAGAAAACATTAGCTCGGTATTTTCTAGGCATCAAAAGGACTAGTACAACAACTTGAAAAATAACATTTTAACATCATGAGAACCTGTCTTTCACGTTCATCTGAAAAACACACTAAAATTTAAAAAGAAAAAAAAATGCAAACATCTTGGAAAATAACTTTTTAACATCATAAAATTTATGTGCACTTTCAACTGAAAATTTACACTAAAATTAACTCAATTGTGCTTTTCAATTCCAAATGATCATACTAAACATAAGTTAATTGCCAGTGTTTTTCTTTCTCTTTTACTTTACTCTGAGGTAGTTTTTTATAACCCACTATAACAAATTGACTCCCTAACATCCTCCACCTTCTGCTGTCCATTATTTTTAAGGTCCTTTGTGAAATGGGTACTACTTGGAAACAGATGTTATTTGCTGGCTTTGTTACTTTGGGGTTTTAGTGTTGAGAGGACTTGGATTTCTGTATTAGCATATCAGCTTATGCAATGTGGACATCACCTAAGAACAGTGATTATTTGTTTTAAAGGATAGTTCTTTCAGATCTCATTCCATATCAGATTAAGTGCCCAGTATCACTGAACAAACTGGTGGTGGTGCTGCAATTCCTAAAACAATTCAAGAGGCTGGTTCTTTTACAAAATGATAGTGCCCCTTCTCCATTGAAAATGAATATTTCATTTTCAAAGTAAAAACAAGGCCTTTCTCTTTTAAGTGCCAGCCTCCCCCTTCCTCAAGTGAACCTGCCCCATGGTTAATCATGTGTCTCACTGGGCCCTGTCAGCTGACTCAAGCTTCCCTCACCAGCTTATGTCATCTCCATCTGTTGGAAAGGTTTTAGGCCTTCTGAAGTAGGACTCCATTGTGCTCCATACTCACTCACATTCTCCTCTCCACAGGTTCTTTATTCTGACAGCTTCAGGAAGCAAATACAAGGCAAAGCTGCCTATGTCTTAGACACCCCTGAAATGAGACGGGTGAGGGAAACCCAACGGCACATCTCCACGGTGAGTCGGGACTTCTCTAGGTTGGCCAGCTAGCCTTTAGAGCAGGTAAAAAGAAAAATGTTCACTCCATCCTATTTTACCAAGCAAATTTATGACATTTCAGGTGAAATACCATGAAGACTTTGAAAAACACAAAGGTTGCTTCACTCCAGTGGTGACAGATCCCATCACTGAACGAGTAAAGAAGAACACACAGGACTTTAGTGACATTAACTACCGAGGTATTCAGAGAAAAGTGGTAGAAATGGAACAAAAACGGAATGACCAGGATCAGGAGACTATTACAGGTAACTGAACCCAGAAATGACATTCAGTACATCAAGTTGAAGTGCAAAGGGCCTCAACCTGTTTATTATGTGTGAAAGAAAGCCCTGATTATGTCAAAGTTGGTAAAACTGAGGTCTCTTTTACTGTATTTTTAAACTTAGCTCCTCTTGAGAGAAAAGGACCTAAACCTAAGTTGAGTAAGAGTGATTCAGTCCTTTTTTTTTTTTTTTTTTTTTTTTTTTTTTTTTTTTTTTTTTTTTTTTTTGGCAGAACCAGGGATTGAACTCAGGCCTTTGTGCTTGCCAGGCAAGCACTTATTCTACTGAGCCATCTCCCCAGCCACTGATTCAGTCCTCTTGCAGTTGCTTAAATTTCTGCTTTGGATTTCAAGTTGCTGAGAGCACGCAAGAACATCAGCCCTGATCACCAGTATTTCTTTCAGGTTTGCGTGTCTGGCGTACGAACCCTGGTTCAGTTTTTGATTATGATCCAGCAGAAGACAATATTCAGTCTCGAAGCTTACACATGATTAATGGTACGTTATGCCACAAGAAGTTTACAACATACAATCTCCATTTAGTGCAAGTCAGTGATTTTAGGTTTCAAAGTTACTTCTCAGAGTTTTGTTTGCTTTTTTGTTTGTTTGCTTATTTGTTTTTGCATTGGGCATTGAACCCAGAGGACTCTAAACTACATCTTCTACCTTTTAATATTTTACTTTTTAACACAGGCTCTCACTAAATTACCTTGACTAGTCTGGAACTTGAAAGCCTCCTGCTTCAACTTCCAAGTAGCTGGAATTATAGGCATGTGCTGCCATGCCTGCCTCAGAATTTTTCATTTTCTGAGTTACACATTGACTAGTGGCCAAATCAATCAAATTAAGAAAAGATTTCCTAGATAAATCCAAGTTAGGAAGAGTGTGATTCCCTGCCTTCGTTCATGTCTCCTTCAGGCCCTGTTATTATAATTACTATAGAGAAATGATGACAATAAAATACTTAGACAGAAAGAAAGAAGTGGATTTGACCTTTATGTATTTTCTGAATTTTCTCATGTCAAGGAAGATATTCATTTACCAGAGTAGCTCCATGATCTTTATGGTTTTTGTTCATGTTTGAAAATAGAATAACACGTGGCACCATTCCTTAAAGAGTTTGCATTCTTGTTTACTGATAAAGAGGGGCTATCTGGGAATGTTGCCAGGCACAATTTTAAAGATCTTCCCACAGTATCCTAGGAACACATTGAAAGTGTCTCAATCAATCTGAGAGTTAGGGACGATTTTCTAGAAAAGTTGAAGATGGAATATGAATGTGATTACTATTCATTTTAGTGAGCCAAGGAAATGGGCAAACTTGCGAAGAAGAGTAACAGTTAATGGATTCTTGAATTTAAGCTCTGACTGTACCACCTATCTGTTACATGACCTTTGGCTTGCATTCATAAAACAAGGATAACTACCATATGTCAAGAGTTGTAAGGGAACTAACTGGACACGGTAGTGCATGTCTCTAATCCCAGCTACTCAGGAGGCTGAGGTGGGAGAATCTCTAATTCAAGGTCAGCTTGGTAACATAGCAAGACAAACCTCTCAAAAATAATACTAGTACTAAAAATAGAATTGTGAGGGGTTAATCCATGGAAAACCACTTAAACTATTCTTGGTTAAACACACACACACACACACACCACCACCACCACCACCACCACCAGCACCACCAACCACAAGAACACCAATAACAACAACCAAGACTCAGTAGCTGTTAGGAATTGCTACCATAGAACTATAGAACTTTCATCTCTGCTACCTGTCTCCCAATCACACTTCTACCAGCCCAAGCTCACCGCCGGAGCCGGGAACAGTCTCGATCTGCTAGTGCTCTGAGTATTAGTGGTGGGGAGGAGAAATCTGAGCACTCGGAAGCTGCCGACCACCGTCTCTCCACCTACAGTGATGGAGGCGCCTTTTTCTCTACAACTTCCACAGGTAGAAGTAGATGGTGCTGACTTCGGCCGTCATGGCCAGTCAGCTTAACGTTACTATGGGATACTATAATTGTACAAAAGTTTGATCTTCTAATAACTACAGACTAAAATTTGTGGAAATTTTCATAAAGCTAGATGTATAATTTTCAATTAGATTTTCCCTTTTCATAAATCACAAATTTGGGAGAAAAAACAGTATTGCTCAACTAACAAATAGATTAAGTATCTAGACACTTTTTTAATAAACTATTCATTCCTCCTTTGCAGGTTACAGACATGTGAAAACCACGGAGCTCCCACAACAGAGATCATCCTCAGTTGCTACCCAGCAGACAACTTTATCTTCTATCCCGTCTCATCCCTCTACTGCTGGAGTAAGTAACAATCAGTACCGCACTCAAATCATGCTTGATTTTTTGTTATATAGAAAAACAATTCTAGGTTCTCTGACCTTTTCATCTGTTTGAAAACAAAATTTTACATATAGTGCTCTTCTACTACACACTTCATGTTCATGGTCAGTACCAGAAAACCTTAATTACTACCCAAGCCCAAACTCATGAAAATCCTTTTTGTTGTTGTTGTTGTTTTTTGGTGGAACTGGGGATTGAACTCAGGATCTTGTGCTTGCGCTTGCCAGGGAAGCGCTTATCCTACTGACCCATCTCCTCAGCCCCATGAAAATCATTTTTCAGTGATTTTTAAAAGTTAGAGCCAACTCTGAACTTGGACACACAGTTTTACATACAATCTTGAACTAAACTTTCACTACTTGGAACATTTTAGGCTATATCTACATGTATGCACACACGTATGTCCATCTTAGATCTCCACTCTTCATGTGTAATGAAAAGTAAACCAAATCATGCTCATACTTTACCAGGATACTTTAAAACTATTATCTTAAAACCCAAGTATCATTTATAATGTGTTACCAAAACATTTGTGTAAAGACAACAATCTTCAGCATAGGACATTGAAGAATATCTATACGTGTATTGATAGCCACCATATTTCAAGAAGGGTGTGCTGTAAATTTGTCATTTCTCCTGAAAGGAATCAATTATACCAAGCAATTTCAGTCAAATTCCCAATAGGATTTTTAAAAATTTGTGTGCTAATTCTAAAATTTATTCAAAAGAGTAAAAATACAAGAATAAAAAAAGGTACAAGAATAATAAGAAACATTTTGGAAAAGGTAATTGTGAAGAACTTAACCATATGTCATTTGTATTGACTCCTTCTTTCTCATTGATGCCTATTAGTCTCACATTGTTCATCTTTGCATCATCTTGCAGGTGATGGATTATTCTTTCCTGCATCCTAATTATTTTTAAGAGATCCTTACCTTTTCACTAGCTGCACCAGCATCTTCAAGATCTGAAACTGTCTTCACTTTCACTTAAACGGTTTTACAAGCTTGTGATTGAGATTTTAATTTCCTCTATATCTCTTTGACTCTGCTTCATGTGATCTATTTCTTTCCTGTATTGCTCATTCAAGGAATCCATCATTTTTCTAATCACCTCTATTTTTTAATCAATGTCTTTTTTCTTTAGAAGCAGTTATAAATTCTTTTACTGCAGTGTTTTTTTCAGATTGGGTTTACTCCCTATGTTTCTGTGTTGATTCTTTACTTCAGATGCTATGAGTTCTGAGAATTCCTTTTTTATTTCAGAAAAGAGTTCCTCTCTGAGTTCCTCTATAACTTTCTGCTGTTGCTTATTTACTATGGACGCTATTAATTCATACATTTGAGCTGAGCTAGTAGAAAAGAATTCCACTCTGAGTTCCTCTGTGACTTTCTGCTGTTGCTTATTTACTATCGATGCTATTAATTCATACATTTGAGCTGAGCTAGTGTCCTCTGCACTTGTTCTGGGTGGGCACTGGGTTTCCTCCATATGTTTCTGCATTTGATTCTTTACTGCAGATGTTTTTAATTCAGGGATTTCTTTTTTATTTCCAATCTGAGTTTCTCTATACCTTTCTGCAGCTGTTTCTTTATTTCAGAAGCCATTGATTCCTTGCTTTCAGCTGTGTGATTCCCAATTTGTTCTGTGTTAGTGTCCTCTGCACTTGTTATGAGTGGACTTGGGTTCTGAGATTGCATTTTGTTCCTTCTTGTCATTTTCTGTAGCACTATCTTCTGACCTTTTTTGTAGATCTTTGTTGCAGTTATAACCTTAGTGCCTACTGAAGTTCAGGTGCAGATCTACAAAGGCTGGATTTATCCAGCTATGCTTGGCTTGGGTCTGGCTGCTGTGCTCAGCTCCTTCCTGCTACAAGAACTTAACCATAAAAGAGCAAAACATGCTATGAGGATTTAACATTAAAATGCAAAAATAGATAAAAACCAGAAATATACTCCTAAAATAACTATAATCATCTGGACAGGATGAATTATTTAGTTATATGGTATTGGGATAACTAGGCTAAAAAATAATAAAATCACATGCTTATCTCAAACCATACTTAAATAGCAGCTATAACAAAGTTCCAAATGTGAAAAACAGAATTATACAAGCACTCCAGAAAAAGAGACTGCTTTAATACCATTAAAAATGAGGAAACTCTTCCTCATAAAGTGAAAAATCTAGAAGTGTGAAGAAAAAGATAAGCAGATTTCACCATGTAGTTTTAATTGTTTCCTTAATAAAGGAAATATCAGACGTGGAGAAAATCCTGACAGCATATATAGTGAACATAAAATTTAAAAAGTAAGATGTATGTCAAATGCAAAGACATATTGTTCGCCCTCTCTCTCCAAGTAAGAAAGACCTCAAAGAGCATAATTAGGTTATGGGAAAAGCAGCAAAGAGACCAACCAAAAAAGTGTTCACCATGAGTTGCAGAACAGGCAAAGGAAACCATAGTCAAGTATCATCCCTGAATATTGAGTAGTAAATGCTTAGAATATAAACACACAGTTTGACCTAACATTTTCACCTTTGTTTTCTTCACAAATTATCTGCCCAAAGACAAGTACTAGTACGACTCATTATAGTGTTTAAATAATACAGTGATTTCTATAGTACAGAAAAATAGAAATGGCTAGTTTGTGGCATTACTAAAATGTGAAAGGTTCTGCAGCACTCAGAAAGCCTACTTTCTATTTTTGTTGGAAGACTTCCAAACTATACTAACTAGGAAGGACAGGGAAGAGTATTATTTATAGTACTGCTTTCTTTATGCAGGGGCAAAAGGGAAAACTGTACTTGTGACAATAAATATGTGTGCAGATTTCAGAATGCAAGAAAAAAATGCATAGGTTACATTTGAAACAACTAGCAAGGGGCCACTCCTAGGAAGAAACTGGAAGTTCTCATTTATTATTTATAGTGCTAAAGTTTTACCATTGTTTAACATTGCCTTGAATGACTTTTAAAAATTTTTCTACTGGTATGCCTCTAAATTCCCAAAGTGAGAGGTGACATATGTCAACCTAAATAATACTCAGAGATTTCCCAAAGAATAATAATATATTTTGGGAGCCAGCAAGATAGATCAGTGGACTAAGCAACTGCTTTGGCAAGTGCAGGGACCAGGGTTTGATTCTCAGTCCCACATGCCACGCTGGCCCCACCCTTGGGGCTCACTGAGCCAGTGATGGAGTCTGGTCATGGTGGCACATGCCTATTAATCTCAGTGCTGGGAAGGCTGAAAACAGGAGGATCACTACAAGTCCAAGCTGTGTAGTGAGACCCTGTACCAAATACATGAAATGAAAAAAAAATCTATGTAGATATAGATAGATATTTGGGAATAGAAGAGCACTGCAATAATATGCATGTCATAGCAAATTATGGGTGTATTCAAAGAGGATGAGGCAAGGGGAGCCTTTTTAAGGAAAAGTGAGGATTACATAAAATATTTTGAGGCAGTTGTGTTTGACTACAAGGACTAATGAAGTCTGAGGCACTTGCTAGAAAGATGTCCCCTAAGTATTGAGTGAAGTCGCAGAGGCCTCTGTAGCAGGCAGTGGTCCTGGCAGTCTTTTGGGATAATCACTATCAGGCAGTCATGCCTAAAAGCCTTTCCTTAATACTCCTCTGGCCTTCTTTTTCAGCTTAGAAATGGCTTGACCAAAGTGACTGTGTGGAGATTCTGAACTTTCATGCAATCAATACTGTTAGGGGTTTTCATATTCTTTCCTGAAACACAGCTTGATGTGATAAATGCCAGACTATTTTCCAAAGTGGCTGTCCTATATTGTATTCCCACCAGAAATTACATTTTGTTTTGTTTTGTTTTGTTTTGTTTTGTTTTGTTTTGTTTTAGACAGCATCTTGCCATGCAGTTCAGGCTAGCCTTGAATTCACAATGTAGACCAGGCTGACCTTGAATTTGTGGCAATCCTCCAGCCTCAGCATCCCAAGTGCTGAAATTATAGGTGTGTGCCACCATGCCCAGCAGCCACTAGCTGTTTATGAAGACTCCAATTTCTCTCCAACACCTCTAAAACCTGTTATTGTCTTCTTACCAATTATCATTATTCTGGTTTGTGTTATTTGAGTTGCATTTCCCTTATATCTGCTGATAGGGAGCATATTTTTATGTGTTTATTGACAATTTGTATATCCTTGTGGAAATGTCAATTCATGTCCTTTGTTTCTTTATCTTTTATTTTTGGTGTTGAATGATAGGAGTTCTTTATATATTCTGCATGCTAATTCCTTATCAGATACATAATACACAAACATTTCCCTATTTTGTGCATTTTTACTTTGCGGGTGTTGGTTGCACATCTTTTGTGCAATTTAAATTAGCAGGGAAAGTCAGAAGAGATCTTAAAATGATGTATTTAATGGTTCCAAATCCAATATATAATTTCCTTTTTTGTTTCATCCCCATACATAGAAAATCTTCCGTGCAATGTACGACTATATGGCTGCAGATGCAGACGAGGTGTCCTTCAAAGACGGAGATGCTATTGTAAATGTTCAAGCTATTGATGAAGGGTGGATGTATGGCACCGTGCAGAGGACTGGAAGGACCGGCATGCTCCCAGCAAACTACGTTGAAGCTATTTAAGCACCTCAGGAAAGCCCATGTCTGCAGGACCTACAACACTGCAGCCAGTATTTCAGCTTAGACCACTGTCACCCAAGTTGTGAAGCTGCCTAATAGATTTATTTATGTGCTGATATGTATGGCAATACCATCCACTTACCTTTTTTCCTTTACAAATTCTAATGATTGTTAGATAAAACAAATGTTAGTATCATTGACCTGGCTAGTTTTTAAAACTACCTTTTGGACTTGCGAGCTCTTTATTTTTAAAAGTTCCATAATCAGACTTCCTTTGATAAACATGCCAAACATACTGGAGAAAATTGGCAGAGATGCTTTCATCTGTTCCTTGCTTACTAAATCCTTATGCCTGTGCTTCTAATATAGTTCTGCAGCTATTAAGGTGACAGTCAATATAAATTGGTGATGAACTGGTAACTAATAAACTCTGTAATTCTGCTACAAACTCTGCTGACTGAACTTTTTTTTTTGAACTTTTAATTTTAATGGTTTTAAGATTTACCAATAAAAAAAAATTCAGTAAAGCAAATTCCTTAAAGTATATTTAACTAAAAATAATTACCTAAGAGTTTTGTAAAATGTACTGTCAAGGATGCACAACAGTAGACATTTTCAAAATTTTCCATAGTTGCAATGAACAAATTTCCCTTAAGAATTTTAAAAACAACTGTGGGATCCAACCCTAATCTCAGTAGATTGTTCCCATCTGTATCAAATACGATTAAGAGTGTAGGGCAAAGACTTATGTAAGTGGTAAAAGGTAACTGAGAAAGCCGCTCAGTTAGGGCTTACTGCCTATTTACAGACTAGCCTTCCTTGAAAAAGGAGAGTTGTCCTTGTATGTTTAGAGCTATGATAATATTAGTGTCTCGGGTTTTTTGTTTTTTGTTTTTTTTTTAATGTTTCAGTGCTAGAGACTAAAGCCCAGGGCCTTGCATGCGTGAGGCAAGCGTTCTACAACTAGAGTTACATTCCTAGCCCCTCAGGCTAACTCCTGTGTCTAAGACTCATATGGCAAGAGCGCTTCAGCAGTGAGCATATTTGTGAATGACAGAATACACTTGTACGTGAGACACTGGTACGTTCTCTTTTATTTTATCCTTCACCATAAACTTGTCCATAAGATTGGGAGCCTGATCAACTACTGATAAGTATTTCTTTATTATTTTTATTCGTGCATATTTGCCATACATAATGATCACATTCGCCATAGGGAATTTGGACCTGTACATAATATCACTTAATTCTTTTTTACCATTCCCTTCTCTCTCAGCCCTCCTTCCCCTTCCCATTTACAAAATCTTTTTTAAAAAATTCCCTTGTTCATTTTTTAAACCCCACTTTCCCTGTTTCTTGCTGATTTTTCCCTACACTTGAACGTATTTTTTCTACCTCCCATCTATCCTCCATTTTAGTTCTTATTTACCCTTTAGGTTTCTCACACAAGAGAATCAAGGTCATATTAAAACTTGTGTGCCTGACTTATTTCATTTAAAGTTATACTCTTGAGGTGCATCCATTTATCTAAAAATGACTCAAGTGTATCCTTATATATGGCAATGTAGTACTCCATCCAATATAGAAACCACATTTTCTTTATCAAGTCGTTTGTTGATGTTGATGTGGGATGTTTCCAAGATTTAGCTATTATAAACTATGCAGCAAGGAGCTGGGAATATAGCTCAGCTGCACAAGCACCTGCCTGGCAAGTGCAAGGTCCTGATTTCAATTACAGGTACATGCCCCAAGACTATATAAATAAAAATTTAAAAGTAAAATAAATTGTACTGCTATAAACATGGGTATGCACACGTTACTATGGTATGACGTGTTTAACTTTTTTGGGAAGATACCTAGCAGGTACAGAGCTGGATCAAATGGAATCTTTAGTTTTAGTTTTTTGAGGACTCTCCATACTGACTTCCATGGTCATTGTACAAATTTATTCTCCCATCCACAATTGAGAAGCATTCCTTTTTTCCACAGCCTTGCCAGTATTTGTTATTGATTGACTTCTTCATGATAGCCATTCTTTCTGGAGTGAGATGCAATCTGTTTCATCTTGTATTTCTTGACCTACCCATCATGTTGAACATTTTTTCATATATTTAGTTGTTTTTTGTACTTCATCATTTCAGATGCTCACTTTCAGATTGGGTCTTTAAATTTGGAGGGGAGGTCCGATTTTTTAATTCTTTCTATATATTAGATGTTAGTCCTTTGCCTGGGGAGTAACTGGTCCAATTTTTTTCCCATTCTGTAGGTTGTTCACTCTGTTGGTCTTTTTTTTTTTTTTCTTTTTTTGCTGTACATAAAGAGCTTTTTAATTTTATGTGATCTCAGTTGTTGATTCTTTATAGTATTTCCTACCCAGCAGGGTTTTATTCATGAAGGTTTTGCCTACACCTATGTGTTCAAGGGTTCTACCTAATCTATCTTTCAGCAGATATCTCTTTTAATATTTAGGTCTTTGGTCCATTGAAATTTTAATTTAGTACATGTAGACCTAGGTTCAATCCAGCACATGGGAAGCCAGTTTTCCCAGGACCATTTATTAGAGGTTATCTTTCTTCTAGTAAAGGTATTATGCCTTTTGTCAAAGATAAGTTGGCTGGGGCTGGTAAGATGGCTCAGTGGTCTAAAGCACCTACTTAGAACAAGCTTAGCAAAGCACAGGGACCACAGTTCGATTCCCCAGCACCACATGCCAGCCAGCCCCGCCCCCTGGTGGGCAGAGCTGGCCACACACACACACACACACACAAAAAAAAAAATAAAATTAAAAAAAAAAAAAAAAAAGATAAGTTGGCTGGCCATTTTCTGATATCCTTTTCCTGAGTGTGTTTGAAGGGTTTTTTTTCTCATTAACTTTATTGAAAATCAATAATTATATAGCATATTAACAATTGTAGACAAATATTGAAATGTGAAAGTTATAAGATGTAGATAGTGAATTTTGGAGAAATATCTCTGAGATGAATACATAGCGTGGGAATAATAATAGATGGCACATTGTAAATAAATTATTTAAAAACTTCAATGAAAATAACAGTAAAAATCATCCAAAATAAAAATGAAGAAGAATTTACAGATCAATCATATAATAGTTCACTCTGTGCCAAAATCAAGGAACTCATATTCATATAATTAGAATTCTCAAAGTAGAAAGGGGTAGGCAATAAATAAAGATTTAAAATTTCTGAATTTAGTTGAAATTATAGCACCACATTTCCAAGAAAAATAAGCCTTTTGAACAAGAAATATGAATAAAATCATACCAAGATACACAAAAATGAAATTGTCCAAAACTAATTCTAAAGAAAAAAATCATTAAAGCATACACATAGAAAAAATATTAGCTATGGAAACAAAATTAAATGCCATCTTATTCCACATTTTAAAAAAAGAGCAAGTGGGTAAGAAACTAGACTTATCTATTCAAAGGACTGAAAAAAAAGATCTGTCTTCATTGAATTTTATACTTAGCAAACATACCTTTGAAAACAAAAAGTAAAATATTTTTCCAGTTATACAAACTCAAAATATTCTAATACTTCCAGATGTAGCATATAAGAAATAACAAAGAGCATAATCCATAATGCAAGAGAAGTTGCTGTATGGTCCTGGATAAAGAATAAAGAGTTCTCAAAATGACAGTTATGCAGGACTATGTAAAATATATTAGATGAACCCATTTAAAAGGTCACTGAAGATTTCTACAAAACAGTATCAATCTTATGTCGGGTTATATACATATTTGTGTGTGTGTGTGTAAAAGAAAAGGAAGAAGTAATATGAAGTCAATGGAAAATGGAAATATACTTTTAAAGTTTCTAGTATTAGAAGAAAGTATATCATGTCTTTAAGTAGATTGTAAGTCAAAGATACAGTATAAATTTTAAAACAAAAATTAAGATTAAATAAAATTCAGAAAATTAAAAATTAAATATTTGAAAACAATTGAACTAAGAAAAAGTTTTCATGACAGTAAAGAACTACTAAGAATAAAACAAAGGATAAATACTGGAATGGCAAATATATGACCAGCACTTCTAACAGTCTTGGGATAGGATATCACACAGAGTTCTAGTATGTCATGGGGATGGACAGTGTCCATGACACTTACTGGTGACCAGATGTCACTTGTGGGAGTGAGCTACTGCTATTTCCTTGATATCCACCCTATAGACCCAGAAAGAATCATGACCCATAGGGTGCAGGAGAAGTTCATTTGTAGAGTATGCTGATGGAAATACTTTGCTGCTGAACACAAAAGAGTAACTGAAAGATTATTTTTGTATACCTCTTATTCTGCTGTGTTTAATTGTTTACCCTATTTGGTGGGTTCTTTCCATTCTCATTCATGGAGTTGTGGTCATTTTGATCACTCTCTAGAATATCTTTTAGTAGTCTGTGTAGGGTTGGCTTTGTAATCACGAAATTCTTTAGTTGTTGTCATGGAAGTATTTCACTTTTGAAAGAGAGTTTTGCAGGGTATATTATTCTGGGTTAGAAGTTTGTTTCTTGCAAGACTTGAAGTACTTTGCTCCATGTTGTTCTTGACTTGATGGTTTGTGAAGAGAAATCTGCCATTATTCTGATGAATTTTCCTTTAAATGTAATCTGTTTCTCTTCTTCAGTGGCTTTTAGTATGCTGTTCCTGTGCTGAATTTTCGGGATCTTGATTACTATATGTCTGGGTGTGGTTTTAATTGGGTTGATGTTATTTGGAGTTCTATATGCTTCAGTTACTGAATGTCAGATTGTTGCCCCATATTTGGGAAGTTTTCTGCTATTACTTCTGTTCATATTCTTTCTATATCATTTGTATTGACTCCTTTCTCATTGATGCCTATTAGTCTTATGTTGTTCATCTTTGCATCTTCTTTCAAATGTTGAATTATTTTTTTCCTGCATCCTAATTGTTTTTTGTTTGTTTGTTTGTTTGTTTTTTCGCAACCGGGGATTGACTCAGGCCCTTGCGCTTGCCAGGGAAGCGCTTATTCCGCTGAGCCATCTCCCTGGCCCTCCTAATTGTTTTTAAGAGATCTTTGCTTACCTTTTCATTAGCTGCACGGTGACTTTAAGGTCTGAAAATCTATTTTCACCTTCATTTAAATGGTTTTGCCAGCTTGTGATCGAAGTTTTAATTTCTTGTATAGCACTCTGAACCTGCTTCATGCATTCTATTTCTTTTCTATATTGCTCATTTAAGGATTCCATCATTTTTCTACTCTATTTTTTAATCAGTGTTTTCTTTAGAGACACTTAGACTTCTTTCATTATAGTTATTATTTCTTTTTTTACTTCAGAAATTATTTCTGATCTGATTTCCTCTATACATTTCTGCAGTTGTTTCTTCTGACGCTATTATTTCAGAGATTTCAGGTGTATGATTTCCAATTACTTCTATGCTATCATCTCCTGCATTTGTTCTGGGTGGGCTTGGGGCCTGAAAATGC